ATACTCGAACGGTGGATGCACGCCACTGTGTGCTTGTCACCCTCCCAAGCAGCCCTGCACAGAGGCGACAGGGCACTCCAACTTCTCTGGCTGGTCCCTCTCTGTTGCTACCGGGCTCTGTTCATGGCCCTTGGCCCTGGATGCACCGTAGGGTCACCTGGGAATCTTTTAAAATAAACCCATGCCGCCCTGGATGGTTTTACTCAATGGTTAGAGCATCGGCCTGCATTTATCCACCATCATTTTAGTTAATAAACAGATAAATCCCTAATGTGCTAGAGTTGGCACCTAAGATCCTCTGTCCAAACCCATTATTTTACATGAGAGGAATAAGGCCCAAATCAGGCTGACAGTATCACACCGGTGCTGAGTAAAGGCACCAGGACCCAGGCCTCCCAGGACCTAATTCCTTGCTCTTTCTGTGCCGTGTGCAAAATCAAGCAGCAGCAGAGAAGTAAGCCGAGGGCCCTCGCAGTCCCAGAAGCAAGGCCGTCACACAGACTGTGAGGTTTGTTCATGAGCCTTGAGTGTACCATTATTTACATTACGATGACGCTACTAAATCACATCATTTAATAAAAATATGTAAAAAAAAAACATGTGAATATGGGCCCAGAATTTTGTGCACAATACCAAAGACACACACATGAACAAGAACCTTCTGGCGGGGGCGTCAGAAGCTCACGTGGAATTACCACTAAGTTGTGCATTAAAATGGGAAAATAAATGTTTTTCTAATGAACAATTAAGGACCTTATCGGGTTTTTCGCACCAGGACCCAGGCCTCCCAGGACCTAATTCCTTGCTCTTTCTGTGCCGTGTGCAAAGTCAAGCAGCAGGAGAGGAGTGAGCCGAGGGCCCTCGCAGTCCCAGAAGCAAGGCCGTCACACAGACTGTGAGGTTTGTTCATGAGCCTTGAGTGTACCATTATTTACATTACGATGACGCTACTAAATCACATCATTTAATAAAAATATGTAAAAAAAAAACATGTGAATATGGGCCCAGAATTTTGTGCACAATACCAAAGACACACACATGAACAAGAACCTTCTGGCGGGGGCGTCAGAAGCTCACGGGGAATTACCACTAAGTCGTGCATTAAAATGGGAAAATAAATGTTTTACTAATGAACAATTAAGGACCTTATCGGGTTTTTCGTATGGACTCACCGAAAAAGTACGACTAGCAGGAAGCAGGAACTCCAGAGCATTTGGAATTACCACTAAGTTGTGCATTAAAATGGGAAAATAAATGTTTTTCTAATGAACAATTAAGGACCTTATCGGGTTTTTCATATGGACTCACCGAAAGTACGACTAGCAGGAAGCAGGAACTCCAGAGCATTCATTCTTTCCCTGTCAAACTGAGACATCACATGTTTCTCAGAACGTGTTCCTAAAGCACCTGAGAGCAGAAGTACTCACTATTGTAAGCACACGCGCCCGGCAAACAGCGCGGCTTCACAAAACACAGGTGAACTTCACCTTGCTTTCCCAAAACATTACCCTGGCAGCCCAGGGAAAGGGGCACTAGGTAAGCTCATACTCACCAACACCAGCAGGAATAAAAGATCACCTTTTACTTAAGTCCAGAACTTTAGCTAAAATGCACCTTGTGGTAATTCTACTTTTTTCCAGAGTTTAGGCAATATTCCATGTGTGGTTAAGGTTCTAAGATGTTACGGTAACTTTATAACTTAGTAGATAAAATACTGTGCTATTACATTATCAGATGATGTTACTGCAGATGGGGGATAGAGTTCATATGCCTTCTGCGTTTTAAGGGTAAAATTTCAACTACCTACCATTTAGTATTCCCTTCCCACAGTAAAAGTAAAGCACTGTAGTGTTAATGTTTTGACACACATGCATAACACACCTCTTTTGATAGTTGACAGACATTTACTAACAACCTAAAAACTTCACACTTACAACAGGAAAGTAAATGTTTCACAAATGAAGAATTAAGTGAAAACTACCAGGATCTTATAGGTTTTTTAATATGTACTATGAGTACCTTAGAAGACAGAACATCAGCTTGCTGGATCATAGGGCATGACTGAAAATGAGACAGTATTTTAAGTTACCTAATAGCTTTCCCAAACAGTTCCCCTGAAATTAAACCAGGAAATGAAGTCTTAGATATGATTCACCATGCACGTCCATCTGACAGAGTTTAGGCAATATTCCATGTGTGATTAATGTTCTAAGATGTTACGGTAACTTTATTACTTAGTAGATAAAATACTGTGCTATTACATTATCAGATGATGTTACTGCAGATAGGGAGATAGAGTTCATATGCCTTCTGCGTTTTAAGGATAAATTTCAACTACCTACCATTTAGTATTCCTTTCCCACAGTAAAAGTAAAGCACTGTAGAGTGTTAATGTTTTGACACACATGCTTAACACACCTCTTTTGATAGTTGACAGACTTTTACTAACAACCTAAAAACTTCACACTTACAACAGGAAAGTAAATGTTTCACAAATGAAGAATTAAGTGAAAACTACCAGGATCTTATAGGTTTTTTAATATGTACTATGAGTATCTTAGAAGACAGAACATCAGCTTGCTGGATCATAGGGTATGACTGAAAATGAGACAGTATTTTAAGTTACCTAATAGCTTTCCCAAACAGTTCCCCTGAAATTAAACCAGGAAATGAAGTCTTAGATATGATTCACCATGCACGTCCATCTGACTTTTATGATTTTGCTGTTACTTTTTAAAGGTGCTCAACAAAGCCCAGTGGAGTGGCTCAGTAGTTGAGCATCAATTCCCAATCAGGGCACATGCCCGGGTTGGGGGCTCGATCCCCCTGTGGGGCATGCAGGAGGCAGCCAATCGATGATTCTCTCTCATCATTGATGTTTGTCTCTCTTTCCTGCTCCCTTCCTCTCTGAAATCAACAAAAATATTTTTTAAAAATAACAGGGCTGCCCTCATTTTCCACTGGAGGACTGAAATCTTTACTCTGCAAATTATCTTAGTCTCTTAATATCTACCTGACAGGGAGGAAAAGGCAAATCTCAGTAAGTGTGCTTTCCCTCAACATGAAGGCGAAGCGAAAAGGGAGCCCTGCAGAAATGTGAGCACTGGATATTGTTGAGCTCTTAAAGCGCAGTAACAGCCAAAAGGCTTTAAATACATCAGTAGTCTCTGCATGCCTTTGTTAGTTCAATACATAACATGACCTAGCAGAATACTTCTATTCAAAAGCTCATCTTTCCAAAAGGCCCTACCTCTCCCAGATGGCCTGTGGAGTTCACTGCCTGTGTATAGATATACAGGCACATAGATTACATATGTAAGCAGTGATCACGTGACTCCCTGGTCCTCCAGGCAAGTCATTTTACTGTGGTGTGTAGAGAACAGTCTCTGAAGTATTTTCAGGCCACACACATGCACACGCACAGTTATCATCAACCTCATCAACACCTGACAATTCAGAAAGCCTACATGCTTTTCTGTGAATTCTGAAAAAGTGCCTTGAATTTAATTGTTTTTTTAAAAACTTTAGTCTTCAATATCGAAACTGCTAAGTTATTCCATTTTCTATTTAAAAAATAGGAAAATTGCCCTAACCAGTTTGGCTCAGTGGATAGAGCGTCGGCCTGCGGACTGAAGGTTCCCGGGTTCGATTCCAGTCAAGGGCATGTACCTTGGTTGCGGGCATATCCTCAGTG